AACTTTCAATGTTTTGCAATGAATGAAAAAATATTTCGGACGAAATTTGTAGCGTTTTAGTTACTTGACATTTAATGATCCCTTCGTTTTTTGTTTCGCGTCGAATTAGTTTTTCCACTCTCCTGTGCATTCCGGTTTTTAGTCACAGAGGCCTTAACTTAAGGACGCGACACGTTCAACATTCTTATTCGTCGCCCGATAAAAGTACGCGTTTCCACTCACAACTTCTGGCCTGTCTAATGTTATGATTCCTTCTCGAATTTCTGCTTTCGGGAAGCAATTTGCCGCGTTGTGCGATGTAAAAACTCTCGCGTACTTCGTTTGTTATTTTAGGCACGGCGGCATAGAAGTTATGAAAACTTGTATTGAAACTTGGAAATTGAGTTGCGTACAATACGAACTGAAATTCCATGTGCAATCATGTTTTATAGACCGCGTGTTCACTTTTTCTCTCAAGGTGTTCGTAGTTGATCCCGAGGCTGCAATACGAGAAACAATGGCATTGGAAGTAGCAGAAGGTTTCTTGTTGTTGTTGAGATAGATTGCACACAGCAAAGAGAGACGTGACGTGACGGGACACTGTAACTTTCATGTCCTTGTTTGCGATGCAGAGACAAGAATGAATCTTGAATGAACTTTCTAGCAGAACCAGCGAAGACAGTGTTCAGTCCATTGCTCTCTTATTCTTCCAAAAAACACGTCCCCATAACAGTTCTCGACCAAATTTAAAATTAAATTGTTACAAAGATCTTCCGGTTTTATTACCACTGAAACGTGATAAGGAACACAAATTGAGGGTCGTACAGGGAAATGTGGGGGAGGGGGGCATTATTTGAATTTCAGGGTGACGAAGAAATCGATCAATATAGAGAACGGAGAAGGTAATAACGCGGTGCAGTTGTTCGCCAATAATTGGCACGGATTTCGGGTACCCGGAGGAAACGCATGGGAGACCATACTAAAACGTTTCTCAAAGAAATTACTAAACTAATTAAAATGACGCTTACGTGTGTGTAGACAGTGACATAGGCTTTATGAATTTGCTTTCGTTGTGCCGGATAGACTGATTTGAATCAGTGATTTTATTTTAGTAAGGACTCCGGCTGATATGAACTTTGAGCCATATAGTAAGAGGAAAAACTTGTACATTGTGCCATTTGCATGATTAATCTGTTGGTTTGTTAGTTACGACGTCAGAAATGGAGCTGGTTTGAAGCCTCAGAAATTATACGTCTGTTGTACTCTAGAAAGGTAAAGATTGTAATGTGTAACTTGGATTATCGTAGTGTTCATTTGTTCAATTTCTGTACGAATCCTTTACTAGACATTTTTAAGATGCAGAGTTGACGGGAAGCCACGTTGAACCAGAGAACGTTACTCCCTTGAACCACTACGGCGTAATAGCTTGATGAAAATCTCTCGTTCATGTGATATTTCAAACTTTGACTACATGTGGCAGAGCCAGTTTGTACCAAACTTTGTGGCGGGCAGGGATCACTTCATGAATTATGGAGAGGTCTCTCCGCACACTTTCTGAAAGTCGTCACCCCCCTCCGCCCACTTCACTCACAGCCCCCCCTGTCTTTCTCTCTCTGTTTTAACCATCATTGTCTCGTCTGCTGAAGAACAGACGTCATTGACAAATGAAAGGATAAAATAAACTCTGGCAGATAAAATATATAAAGAGAGATCTGGATTCTGTGGAGGAGTGCAAATTGTAATGTGATTCCGCCCCGGATACACAGTGCCGTGTTCTTCAACTTTTCGTAAAAAAAAAAAAAAATACCCGGATGAGTTTAGGGTCGTCTACCTCCGAATTAAGTGGATAGCTTGAAAAAAAATTCTATAGTTGTCACGGAATTCCGCGTATGACAGGCGCTGTCTAATAAAACGACCGGTGATACTGTTTCCTCTTCAGTCCTCAATTTTGCACAAGAAAATTTATTGAGGCGTTCATAAGAAAAAACAA